TATGCTTTGAAAATGAATGCAAAGTATTGAGACCCATAAAGTAGATTATCTTAGTAAGGAAATATCATATCAGATCTATGTACAGTAAATACTTCTTTCCAACAAAGGGATTTGCCTTTCACTCTCATCTGAGGCTGTGGGCTCTACTCTTAGTTATTTCTTGCTGTGCTTAAGGTAATGACATAGAGACCAGATTCAATATGATTCTCAAAGGAAATTTCAATAATTCATTTGCTCTTTTGGTTGCTTCAATATTTGCTTTGTTTCTATACTAGTCCCAGAATAGATTATTTGACTGACTCCATTACAATTTGATTATAGTTTTAGACTGCTGAAAAGGCATAACACAGACTTCATTGAGTTTTTCATACAAGGTTTAATTATCTAAAGAGTTCAAAAGAAAGAATACAGAACTCAGCAACATTTTAGGGCAAAAACCCAGGCACAAGTTTCTAGACACTCCCACCTCTGATATGTACCTAGGGGGAGCCAGGTGCTGCTAAGCCCTAGTGGATGAGGGTCACATGAAAAGCCTAATTAATCCCCTCCAGCAGCTCCACTCATGAGCTAATCAAGATGTTCCCTGAGAATGGAGTCCTCATCTGAGTCAGCAGCGTCTCATCAATCTCTGGCCCAGACAATGTGCAGTGTGACTTCAGAGATGGGTAAAATGTACTGAGACCTGGACACAGTGTTCACTTTTGTCTTCCAACCACCTCATCCCTTCTCCAAGCATTTAACACAACTCCATTAAAGAACTTTCTTGAACTTAAAGCTACAGAACTACAGTAGAGTCACTTAACAAAATGTCTCACAGAATTTTGATAATGTGTTCTTGAAATAGTCTTATGGCTTGTTGTATTTTTTCTTATTAGCAATATTGTTCAGGATTTATGAATGTGAGCCCCACATGAGAAGATATTTATTTCCTTATGCTTTTCCTAATCCTTGGGATTCACAAATTACATAACTCTAGGGTGTTAGACCTAAAAGATTTTGCAGTTTGACTATTTAATGTCTATATTGCAAAATTTATTTTTTAAAGCACAAGTGAATTTGCTTTGTATCTTTGAAGGCAGAATTATGTGTAATAAAGCCTAATTACCTTCTTTGGGGGTATCCACTTTGAGTTTATTCATATATAATTTCACCAGACATCAGTATCTATATAAAGGTTAGTGGAAAAACCACAAAGAGAATTCAAGTGTGTCGTGGTTCATGGCTCATTAGAAGAAACTACATGGAAAACAGGAGCAGAAACTGACTGCCCAGCCTCATGCCTCTGAGAAATGTTCATAGAGAAAGGACCTCTATTGTTTATTCCTACAAGAGTAGAGTGGCATTAACAGCTACTGCAGCCTCAGGGCTTATGATGTGCCAGGTGTAGAATAAATTTGATGCAAAGTTACACAATTCTGGCAAGTAAATATTATTAATGTGCTTGTTTTACTGAAGTAAAAACTATGGCACAAGGAAGCTAAGTCCTTTATCCAAAATCAAAGATAGCTTTACCTGAAGACCCACCAAATCTCCTGGAAACTCATGAAGTGTGGTGGTCAAGGGCAACAGACCCTGGTTCACAAAGTAAATGAGGGCTATTTTGTTTTGTTTTGTTTTTAAGGATGTCATAAGTTCTCAGCATCAAGTCTGGAGCTCTGGCACATTTTTGGTCTGTAAAGGTAATCTCCCACTGGCCAGATCAAAATCACTTCCTGGAAGTGGCAGTAGATGCAGTAGAGATGTAGTATAGAAGGAAAGTGGCAAGCCAAGTAAAGACTTCAGAAAACTTCTGGGAAATACTAATACTCCTTCATTAACTTTGGAAATTGAATCCTTGGCACAGGTAGCTGTACAAGAGCGCTATGCTTTCTCATTGTGATGGTTGTACAGTTGTATGTGTCAACTTGACTGCACCATTATGCACACAGACCTTTTGACCACATGCTCTGAGTGTGTCTTTAGGGGTATTTTTTTTTTTGTTTTATGGAAAAAAGGTAAAACAAAATTTCATAACAAAATAATAGGAGAATAACAATAGTTAATACATTACATATTATCTTTAAAGTGTACAAGACATGGGCACAAAATTTTCTCCAATCAATATTATCACAAACCGGACTTCTGGGAGAACATGGAAGATAGATAACAGTAGCTATGGAGGCTCTCTGAGATAGCCAGCTTAGATTCCAGGAATGGTGTGGTGTGGGGAGTCCTAAGCAGGGGTAGACATACACTGCCAACACAGGAATGAACTAAGCTGAGAGAAAACAATTGGAAATGCAATCCTGGTGCTACGACTGGAACAGCTGAAGTCTTAACACCGAAGCTGGAACCCACGCCTCTGGAAACCGTGGCTTGAATTTCCTGCCATCACAGCTGCATCTGAATTAGCACAGTAGGGATAGAGATGCAAAAGCTCTGAGAGCAGGAACCGGTGGACCAAATTGAGAGCAGAGCTGGCAGGGAGCCCTGCATCGACCTGCGGTGAGTGAGAGGAACGGGAACCCTTCCATAGACTATGAGGCTCCAACAGAGGACATTCTGGGATGGGGCAGACTAGCTGGAACAGGATGCTGCAGACTTCAGTCACATATTCCCCTCTCAAGCAGGATCGGTGGGGAGCACTTGACCTGGGTGACGCCACAGACTAAGACCCAGTAGGCTAGCCCAAACCAGGATCCTGTGCCTGGCAGTGCACCCTAATGCACTGAAGTCTTCAGCAGGTTGACTGTCCTGGAGGGGCGGACCCAGCAGAGGCTGCCCAGATCTGTGTCTCCCTAGTACACTTCAGTGGGTGGGAACACCTAGCCATCATGATTCAAACAAACTGTAACAGACAAAGAAAGAAACTGGGCCTCATATATACGCTTGTATGGAAGGAACAAAAAGTATGGGAGCAAAAAGAAAGGGTCCTCAGTCCCCAATTCTGAGAACACTGATCCAGGAAAGGTAAATTCAAAGGAAAATGAGGACAGAAAACATGCAATATCAGACATGGCACCAGTAGACATAAAGTGATATCTCCAAAACATCATAGACGAGTTCAAAAGTGAAGTATTTAACCAAGTAAAGCAAGATATAAGTAAAATAGTTAAAGAAATGCTAAGCACTTCCCAAGAAAAAACAGATGGTGTAATGGAAGAACAGAAAAAAGGGAGAATTTTTGATGGAGAAAATAGAGAAAACATGAATCATGTTCAAAGAGATTACCAGGAAACTAAAAACTCTATTTAAAGCTGGCATAACAGCTTGAAAGAAACTAAGGATAGGTTATCTGAACTGGAGGACAGATTTGTAATTTGGGAGCATGAAAGGAAAAACTTCTTAAAAATAACAAGGAAACAAGCAGTAACAATACAAAGGCTAGAAGATAAGAGGATCTATAACTTAAGAATTAAGAATGTAAAGGAAGAAGCAGGGATACAAACAAATGAACTGCAAAGGCTATTCACAGAAATAATCAAGGAGAACTTCCCTAATATGGGAAAAGGTAAAGATACTCAGATCTATGAGGCATACAGGACCCCAGCCACCTACAACCCAAACAGAACTACACCCAGGCATATAATAATCAAAATTCCAGAAATCCAATATAAGAACAGAATATTAAAAGCTATCAGAGACAAGAAACAGATCACTTACAAGGGAACACCCATCAGAATTACAGTAGACTTCTCGGCACAAACCACCAAATCACAAAGAGCATGGGGTGAAACAATTCAAGCTTTGAAAGACAATAACCTCCAACCAAGATTGATATATCCTGCACAACTGTCCCCAGAAATTAACAGAGAAACATGCTTCCAGGATAAAGAGGAACTAGGGAAAGTTGCAACCACCAATTCAACTCTACAGAGAATACTGCAGGACATTCTAAAAAAGAAAAATACCAAGATTCCAAAAACAGTGGCAGAGAGGCCACAATGAATGGAGCAGAAAGCAAAATGAAGAAGACAAACTGACAACTAATGACAGAAAAAGAGCTCAACAGAAATGAGGCAGAGAAGGTTGGATGCTATGAACAGCTATTTTGGAAGAAACAGGACATCATAATAGCTTGTGCTCATTTAAAATCATCTTGTTTTGAAGTCCCATCAAGCTTTTGTTCTTCTGTCTCCATGGGTCTTAAGATGTTATATCTTATTGGATTTTATTATATGTGATAATATAAACAAAAACTTTTGTATACAAGGAGATAATACAGAAACCATTGTTCATTTTCTGTTAGTTGGTTCTAAATACCCTGTAATACTGTCATTCTCTTGAATGGTTTTACATTGTTTTGATATGTTTGATGCTACAGTATACGGAGTTATACTCAAAAGATTTCAAGGAAAGAGACACTATGGTAACCACTTTTATGTTGGGATATCTTGTGGTGAAACACTATTTTGCTTAAATGGTTATGTTCTGACCTGTGCTATTTTGTTGTTATGTCCTCTTTTATCTCAATCTCCTTTTTTATTATTTTTTATTTTTATCTTTTTAATTAAGGGAAAATAAATTAAAAATAGCAGGATATATTATAATAACCCACTTTGATTTCCTGTTAACCTGATTCGAAACCCTGTATTGCTCTCACCATCTTGTTTTGAGTGATTTTACTCTATTCTGTTTTGCTTGATAGTACCAAATTTGAGAGTATAGGCAACAACGGTGAAGACAGTAAGCTTCACTATGATGCCCGTTCTGGTTTGACTATTATCTTCTTTTGAAGCCTTGAAATGCCTCCAGCGTTTTGGTTTCATTGGCTTTGTTCTTTACTGTTTTGTTCAATTTTATTATAACTGATGATATAGGCAATTCTTTTTAAGATAGCAAGAGGCATTATGGTAACCATTGTTAATCGTTTTGTATTCTGTTTTTACTTTATGTACTATGTCCATCTTTTTGATTTGACTGACTGTTTTGTTATGTCATATTTGTTTTTATTCTCTTAAAAAAAGTAATAAGAACTGCGGGAGTAATGAAACCCAAAATGTGTAATTGTCATTGTAAAAAAGAGAGGAAAAGAAAGTGCTCTAAATGATATGACTGCATGTATATTTAAGTGTATAAGATAGATAACTATATTACTGAATTTTTTGAATCACTGAACAGAACTGTTTGCAGTCTCACTGTTTGAATGTCCACTTTTATGCTTTAATTTTGTAACTTGAACAACTATTTCTAAGATGACAACATGTAATCTATTAACTAGTGATTTTCTACTGTTTATTTTTTTGAAATTCTGTATAACTTGTACCCTTTTTTCCTTTTTCTCCTTAAATAAAATTTTAAAAAAAGAATATTATCACAAACCTTCCTTTTTAATGAACTAATACTAATACTGTAAATGATTTGTATTTTTTCCCTTTTCTCCCACTCATCCTGCTTTCTTTTACTTTTGAACAATTTTTTCCCATTTCACAATATCTATTGTACATTTTAGAACTTATTTACTCACTCAGTTTGTCACACCAGTGAGACAATATGATGTTTATACACATGAGCCTGATATATTTCTCTTACGAATATGGTCTCAAGCTGCATCCATTTACTTATAAAAGTCTCCAGTTTATCATTTTTATGGCTGAGTAGTACTCCATCATATTAAGAATCACGTTTTCTTTGTCCATTCCTTGGTTGATGGGCATTTGGGTTGCTTCCAAGATTTAACTATTAAAATTGTGCTGCTAAAAACATGGGTACACATATATCACTGTGATGTGATGGTTTTAATTCTTCTGGGAAGAAACCCAGAAGGAGAAGAGCTGGGTTGAATGGAACCTCTCATTCTAGTTTTTTGAGGAATCTCCACACTGATTTCCACAGTGGTTGCATCAGTCTACACTCCCACCAATTATGGAGAAGGATTCCTTTTTCCCCACATCCCCTCCAGCATTTATTATTGGTTGATTTCTTGATGGAAGCCATTCGTTCTGGGGTGAGATGGAATCTCAGTGTTGTTTTAATTTTCATCTCTATAATGGCATGTGATGTTGAACATTTTTTCATATATTTGTCTGCCATTTCTTATTTCTTCATCTGAGAAATGTGTATTCATCTCAGATGGCGATTTTTGGATTAGATCTTTGAATTTTGGGGGTCTGATTTGTTTCAATTCTTTGTATGTTCTAGGTAGAAGTTTTAGGGTTATTTCTAGTTGAAATTAATGGCTCAATGGAAGAATGAGTAAAACAGTGCCCTCCACATCCTCTTCTTAATGTTGGTGGGTCTCATCCAATCGATTAAAAGCCTGAATATCACAGAAAGATGAGAGGAGTCCTCTTGCCTGGGAGTTGGTTGCATCAGTCTGTTCTGCTGTTAGACTGGAACTGAAAACTCAGCTGTTCTTGGGTGTGAAGACTGTTGATTTTCAGACTGGAACTTATTCCTTTGATTATCCTGTCTCTAACTTTCCAACCGCAGATATCCTCCATAATCACGGAAGCTAATTCCTTTTACTTAATCTTGTAGGTATAGAGACCCTCCTTCCATTCTAGCCCTATCTTTGTGGCTATATTGCCTATTGGTTCTGTTTCTCTGGAGAGTTCTTATTTATACATTCACATAATCCCATTTTCCATAAACTGTAGGTGGAATATGCCATGGATAAATTCATTTTACCAGAAGAGCTGCCAGAGTCCCTTCACAGCTACAGGTTTCAGACCAGTTGTTTTCTCACCCTAACTCTTGACTGCCAGTACAGTCAAATGAATGGCTGTTGCCAGACTGTGTTCCTCAGGATTGAGCCTAGGGTGGGAAGCTTTTATGGGAGGCATAGTAGGAAGTTGGGAGCCAAAGAGATAGAGGAAGTTCAAGTAGTCAAACTAGGATCAAACTTTCAAGTACTGTAGCACATATACTGCCAGAACCTCAGAATCAAAATTGAGGTTAAAGTGATCAACTAGGGAGCTGAATCTGAATTAGAGTACCAGAAGGTCAGGGAAAAACAAAGTCAGGAATTGCCAGGAAGTATCGCTTAAGCTCAGGATGGAATTGGTGGCTCACCTTTATAAACTACAGCATGCACAGTTGACTTGTATATACCCAGAGATATTTCTTATCACTGTTTCCATGTGTATCTTTCTGACTGGTAGTATGTGTTATGGTTTGAAAACTGGTGGTCAACTTAACGCCAGCTGGATTACATTGAGAGAAGATGCTCCACCTGAGGAGAGTTGCCAGGATAAATAGGTGGAGAAGAAGAGAGGTGTCGAGAGGGATTGAGGCTTTAAGGAGACATTGTGGGTTCTCCTACGAGTTGCTGTCTGAGCTGTTGGTTCTCCTGGAGAAGCTTTGGTCTTCACATGGAGCATTGCTTCCTGGCTCCTTAGGGGAAGACATGTGCTGCCTGGTCTCCAGGATGAACTCCTCACGCTGCTTCCTGGCACGTACCCGACTGTGGCTGTCGTCGGAGGAGCTCGGGGCCTCCATGTCGCTGAGGACAGCAGTGGTGCCTTTCAGGCTAGCCCTGCTCTTTGTTGTGAGTGTGACTTCTCGGCTCCAGTGTAGAACCCTCATCCCACTAGCACAGCTCCTTCATCCTGCTGGCATACACTTTCTGGCTTCCACCGCTGACCCTTGGGTCTTCCCGGCATGAATCCGTAAAAGAGACTGGCGTGAGTCCTTCTTGTGGGCTCTGGACTTCCAGTTGGACTCGTGGAGGCATTGTTCTGAACTCTGGGTTTTTATCTGGACTCATGTGGGACATTGCCATGGGGTTTAGACTCTTAACTAATCTATGTCATTGGTGTTGCGGATAGATTTCCTGCATTCTCCTGTGTTAACTTCCAGTGACCATTATAAAAATATTATAAACACCATGTCGTGATCTGAATTGTTCTCTGTGTACAACCCCTGACTACAACAGTATGTTTTTACATCACTGCATAAACATCTACGTTAGCCATTTGTGTTCCAGTGGGTGGATGCTCAGTGACAATTTCCAAAAGAGGCTTTCAGAAATGCAAAACAGTTTAATATGGAAGGAAGGTGAAGTGTTAGCTCAGAGTTGCCCTCCACAAACTTCTTGGATCTCATGGTGAGACACAACGGTGTGGGGAACGTGCAGTGGAGAAAGACCTTGAATTAGACTCGCAGATCTACAACATTTTAGCTATACCTCTTGCTTTTCAAGCCTTGGCTACTTAATCTGTGAAAGAAAGATGGCAATGCTTACCTTAGATAAGAGACAGGGAGCACATCAAATGCTGTCAGAACTATCATTATGTACATAAAGCAGTCCCTGAACACTGCTGGAAGATCTTAACTGGATCAAGACCTTCTTGATCCTTCCCAGAAGGGTAAAGGAAGAACAGGAAGAAAGATATGCAGCAGACATTTTACCCATGTTATCTTATTGAATTGTCACAATGGCCTCTAAGGTAAGCAGCTAAAGCATTGCAGATCTAAGCCTGTTGGGCCAAAATTCGCCAGAACATTAAATAAACCAAGGAATCTTCTGATATTATAAAGCTACAAATTTGGCATATTTTACCCAACAGACAGAAACTTTATCATCTACAGAAGCTACAAGATAAATGGGTGATTACAGTTATGCACTGTGAATGCCAATAAACAAGATGTTTTCATTTTGACTGCTATAGCTTTCTAGGTGTTGGCATTTGCTGTCCCACACTGCAGCAAAAACATATTTTACACGTACTTCAAATTCTGAAAGAGTCACAGGAACCCATCTGTTATGGTTTATATTTAGATGCCCCCCCAGTCTCGTGCACTCATAAGTGGGGTTTTGAGGGGTGAGTGGATCATGGCTGTGTGATACTCATCAGTGGGTCGATTCTCTGATAAATTTATAGCTGAGATGTTGAAGGGTGAAGCCTGTTTGGAGGAGGTGAGTCTCTATAGGCATGGCTGGGATGATGTCTCTCCTTCTGTCATCTCTTGATTTCTCTCTGCTTCCTGCCATCATGCCGAGCTCTTCCTCCTCTGCCATGCTGCCTTGCCTTGGAGCCAGTGCACTAAAACCTGAGAGCCAAAATAAACCTCTCCTTCTGCACGCTGCAGGTGTCAGGTGTGTATCAGCAATGAAGAAACTAACTAAAACTCCGTCCGAACTCTTTACTTTCTGTCAAGAAGAAGGATCAGGCTAGGGGAGAAACTTCCTACTCGTAACTCTTTCGTTCACCGTGCTTTCTTGAGTAAAGTGAAGAAAGATCACGTAAGAACTTGTTACCATTCTGGTGCACCTCCTTCCATAGAGCAGAATAAATCAGAAATAGTGTTCTATCTCAGGCTCATTCAGGGTGGAAAAAAATTCTAGAGACCTTCTCAATCCAGATCCTCAGAAATATGTGTAACTTGTTTCCTTTTGACTTGGCCATTCTGTCTAGACTCCAGGCCTTCTCACAGGCTAGGCAAGTGCTCCATGCCTGAGCTAACCCTCCAGCCCTGTTGTTCATTACTGAGGCAGAGATTGTGCTTCTATGACCTTGTATTTACCTTGTTCTGTTGGAAGCTTCTCTTCCTTACAATAGCTTGTATTTATGGCTAAACTCTCAGTTGCATTTCCTGTTTCATAAACTAGATTTTCACCCACTTCTGTTTTTAAGATATTTCTTTTCTGCTTACCATCCCACTTCTCTTTTCCCTCAGGATTGGTCTTGATAGCTTTGCATTCTACCTCAGTTCTGACTGCAGAAATCAGTATAGACAAAACTCAGTACCTTCAAATATTTGGCACTATGGTGAATTCACAGGGAAATCAAAAATGTTCAAGAAATGATACCCAAGAGATGATGGAGGAGTGGAAAATATATCCTTGTGGCTGAAAAATAAAATTATAAATATAAGTTTGACAGTCATTGGTGGCAATAGTCTAAGATCTGTATGATCAGAATAGCTTCTCATGACAGAAAATAATGCTCTAAGTAAAATTAATTTAGCAAACTTTTTTTGATTAACTAGTGGATTAAAATTAAGTAACTGCTGAGGGAAAAGCAAAGCTAACCAAGGTGTGGTCTGCATGCTCAAGAGCTGGCCGTGCATAACTGACACGATCATCTGCATGCCTTCCCTTCTAGACCAGTGCTGTCGAATTGAAATGCAATAAAAGTCACATTTTTACTTTAAAATTTTCTAGTAGCTACATTTTTAAAAGTAAATACGGTATAAACATGTGCACATTAATTTTAATAATATTTAATGAGCTATTACTATGTCATTAATATAAAAATTATCGCAATGTTTTTCATGGTTTTTGTCATGCTGTCCTGGAAATCGGGTGTGTGCTGTATATTTGTTGCACACCACAATGCAGACACTAAAGTTTCATTAATTACACTCGATTTGTAGTTAAATTTCATAAAATTTACAGCTGAAGTAATAGATTTACGTACCCAAATTGTGCCAAACGTACTTAAACGTTTTCCAGTAATGGACACGATATCACATCCTGTTAAAATTTTCATGCACATTAACTAAATTATTCATCCTTTGAGAACTGTTTTCACTTTGAAGTAAATGCATTTCATGATCAAAATGATGTTTTTCAAGTTTAGTAAATTTACCAAATCTTATATATTAGCCTCACATTAAAGGGTATTATATAGGGAGCAACTTTAAATTAATAAATATTGACAAACTTCTTTAAATTTTTTTCCTGCAGTATTTGCAGCTAATGTATACAACACAGCAGTTAATTTATATAACACTGCCAATAACATACAGTTTTGTATCTTGATTCAGGTCAGGTAAAAATGTAAAAATCATTATTTTTATTATGAGAAAGGTCAGTTTTTTCAACATAAATACCTGACTAGCTAAGTGTTTTGCAAGTTTTTCTTCCATTTAGAGCTTCACATTTAGTTATCTATGTAAGAACTGTGGTATCAGTGAGAAATCATGGACAGCAGAGGTTTTTTTTTTTTTGAGATTTGGGTCTTCCTAGGTAGTCCAGACCGGCCTCAGATTTGCGGTAATCCTGCTGCCTTAGCCTCCTGTCCTGGGGTTACAGATGTGCGTCACCATACCCGAAGGTTATTTTTTTCTTTGATGAATGAATGTTTCAGTAAACATGCTTTGTGTTTTAAAATATTGTAGTATTTTAATAGTATAAATCTTTGTAAAACCCTTCTATTACTCAGCCAACATTCATGGCAGAAAATGTAAGATCATTAAATTTATTTTTCTTATATCTTTCAACAGTTCCATACACCAGCAGTGATTCATATGTATTCACACATGTATTCTGAAGAAAAGTGTACCCATAGCACTCTTCAGACAGTTTGCCTCTAAGATCTGAACACAAATATTTTAAAATATTTGTCATACAGAGTCACTAAGCAAGGAAATTCTTTTATTTAGCAACTTTTCAAATTTTGAGATAATTAATCTTTGACACTCTTAGGAAGGTCTTCTATTGTATCGAAAAATGTTTGATGGTTTAATAACTAAAGACATTTTGCTTTTTGTAAAATTCTTTAACATAGAAAAATTTCCTAGAAAAATTTAACATAATTTTCATAACAAATAATAATTTCTTACACCATGAGAGACAGAGGGACAGAGACAGTGAACATCCAAGCTGTTTTATAAATGGCTAATGTTACAAGCTCACACCTTATTAAAAATGATTTTAAAGCTTCTTGGTAATTTATGACAATCTTAAGCAATTAATTTGATGACTCCTTTTCTGATTATTGACCAAATTTACTATTACTTTGTCTTACTTTTCTTATTGCTGGGACAAAATATTCAACACTGAAAGTTAAAAGAATAAAGGTTTATTTAGTTCACAGTTTGTAGAGATTTCAGTTTATAGTTGGTTGACTCCAGGGCAGGGTGGCATGGCAGAAAGGCATCACAGAGAAGAAACAGCTCATGGCATGAAGAAGAAAACAAAAGCAACCAAACAATAAGCAACACATGTCTTTCTGTCCCTGTATCTTATCCAGGCTACCCACTCTTGGGCAGGCAGCACTCATACCCTTACTCCTGGAGCCTTTAATCCTAGCATTGCACCATGAGTCAATCCAGCCACCTCCAAAAAGCTCTGTCTATGACCATAAAAGCCTTTGTGAGGCCATCTAGATACAAGCTATAAATATACTTGCTGAAAATGTCCATGTTCTTATCCTAAATTGTTTTTACGTAACACATAGCTTGTCTGCTCTGTTCAGTAAAATGCAATTCATTGTAAAACTTGCAACATACCTTCTTCCAGTTTTTTTCCTTATTCTTCTGGTCATGAAACCAACTTCTGTATTTCCATTTGATTCTCCATTTGATTCTGCAGCAATGTTGTTTGCAACTCGAAAAAATTCTAATATTCATTTTTGGCCTAAAAATGTAATTGCATTACAATAATATGTATTTCAATTTAGTTACTAGTTACAGTTTATGTAGATACCTTATAATTCATGCTGCCTGCATAAAATATTCAAATAAATGCATTACAATATTTTAGAAAACCACCATTTAACAGAATTAATAAATTAGCACTAGAGCAGTGATGTATTGATGCAGAATGCTAGAAAATGATACACATGTCTGATACATATACAATAACATCCAAAATAATGCAATGATTAAAATGAAATACAATCCTGCTGTAATGAAGCTACGTTTAATGGAAAAATATATAATACTACTGTATTTTTAAATCTAAAATTAATTAAAATTAGGGCTGGAGATGTAGCTCAGTGGCACAGCCTTGCCTTGTATGAGCACTAAAAAATAATAAAAATAAAAAATAAAATTATTTAAAATTAAGTGAAATAAAAAGTTCAGGTTCTCATAGTACTATGCATATTTCAAGTGCATATCAACTCCATGTGACTAGAAGAAAGGCATTTTTTGGTCCATTCTCTATTCTCCTCTCCTTTCTATCATCACTTCTCCTTTTCTCAAAGGATGAGGAACTGCTAACCCAGGTGGGTGACAGATCACCGAATGGACCACATTGCCTGGTGGTCACTGCTCCTCCATCTCCATGGTGAATGAACTGACAAGAGTCTGTTTCCATGCATCGGGCCTGGGGTCTTCTCTCTTTCTTTTCTATTTCTTTTTTGTTTACAACCAAGGAACTATCTCCCCAATTAGTTGTTTCTTTCTTTTCCATATCTTCATCTTATCACCTAAGAGGGATGTTGATTTATATTAGAAAGTCCTCCCTTTAAAATAAGACTCACCGTTTTACAGTATCTCTTGGCTTCCTCATCCATACACTAAAACAAAAACTTTGGCTTGGTCCCAGTGACACGCCACTGAATGGAAAGTGGCAAGTTCCCAAAATCTGGAAGTTCAGGGAAGAAAAATATCCAATGACCTGTAGGTTAAGCTGCACGTAAATACTGAGATACACCAATACTGAGTGTAGGGCACTGCGCTACAGATATGCTAGTATTTAATCAGGACTATGAGATGCAAGTGAGCAAATCCGGTGGAAAGTACATTAGTGAGGTGGCAAAGAGACTTACTGGCTTATATAATAAAGCTAAGTAAAAATCAGGAACATAGCTACTCTTGGCATTGACTAGAGCTGGATTAATTTGCTTTCCAGGCTCTTTGGCCTCTGCCTCCCTTACCCTGCTCCGTCCTCCTGCCTCTGTGAAGCAGGAACCAGAGCACCAGCACCTTTCAGCTTCAGTGTTAGAGAAGAGAGAATCCCTTTTCTCAATTTCTATTTGAATATTCCCATAGGGTCCCGAGTAACTTAATTTATATAATTTACCCACCCATAGCAGAGGTAGGAAGGGAAACAAAATAGTTCCCAAGAAGACGAAATGCAGTTAGCAGAAAATAAGGGTGCTTAAGAAACAAAACATCCAACACTAGCCCAACTAATTTAAGTCTTTTTGAGTCATTCTGTTCCCTCTGTTAGTGAAGTTATCTTCATTAATTTCATTAAGGCAAGGTGGCTGGACTTAGTCAAGATTTCTGGAATTTTTAGAAATCTGAAGTGGAAATCAGTATTTTATCTATACTTTTAGTGCAAGTCAAGAAATGAGCACAAACTTTAGAATGCTTGAGATGGTTCAGAATGTTACTGAAGCATGTTTTCTATGCACATAAAAGTAATATAATCTGAAAATCTGATTATCAAGAATCTTTTTAATCTATATATTTGTTGTGAATATTAATTCTATATAATACTGTATTTTATAAGCATTCAATTTTATAAAGCAAACACTATTAGACCTAAAATGAGATATAGGCTCCAATATGTTAATAGCAGGAAATTTCAACACCCAACATCCAGCAATGGATTCATCCTACAAACAAAAAGTTAACAAGAAACATAAGATCTAAATTTTACTGCAGATCAAAAGAATTTAGACCTTTTCCAAGGATTTCATCTAGGAGCTACAAGTATAAAGTCTTTTCGTAAGAACAAGGAATTTTTCTTGAGAATAGACATTTTAGTCAGGCATGGTGGCAAATGCCTATAATCCCAGCACTCAGGAAGCTGAGGCAGGAGAATCACTGTGAGTTTGAGACCAGCCTGGGCTACAAAGTGAGCCCAAGGCCAACCTGAACTACATGATGAAATCCTGTCTCAAAAAGACAAAAAAAAAAAAAAAAAAAAAGATTAGACCACCTTCTCTGAGAAACTACTTAAAAGCTAACAATACACGATGTACTCATTATTGTTATTCTCTTATTATCTTGTTAGGAAATTTTGTTTTTTTCCATAAAATAAAAAATAAATAAGAAAATCAAGTTATTAAAAAGAATAGATCATTTTAGGTCACAAACTATATTTTAACAAATTCAAAATATTGAAACCATATCCTGTATCCTTTCAGACCACAGTAAAATAGAACCTAGTGTTAATAGCAAGAAAAGCTTTAGAAATTGTACAGCTGGGCATGTCAGTGCATGCCTGAAATCCCAGCACTCTGGACAGCTGAGGCAGAACTGCAAATTCAAGACCAGCCTGAGCATCCTGATGAGTTAGCAAGAGTCTGTCTCAAAATAAAAAGCTGGATGTGGTGATGCACATCCTTAACCCAGCACTCGGGAGACTGAGGCAAGAGGATCACTGTGAGTTCAAGGCCAGCCTGAACTACATAGTGAGACCTTGTCTCAAACCGTTTTTAAAAAGTAGTGATGGAGATGGGGGATGGACATGTAGCCCAGTACACAAGCCTTGGTTTCAATCCCTGGGAGAGGGTTGGAGGGAATCAAACACACAAATACATGGAGACTGAAAAAAAAAAATATCTGCTATGAACATTGTGAAGAGTGAAACACTGAAAAACTCAGAGATAATTCTTTAAATTTCTTGAAAGAAATGAAATTTCCAAAGCAATATACCAAAAACTTATGGGATGCAGCAAAAGCGGTACTAAGAGGTAATATTATAGCAATGGTATTTATATACAGAAAAGGATTTTTACTGGGGATTCAGCTCAGTGGCATAAGCACCTGCCTGGCAAGTGCAAGGTTGTGAGTTTGATGCCTGGTACAAAAAAGAAAGAAAGAAAAGAAAAGATTTTTAAATAACCAATCAATGTTGCATCTCAAGGACAAAACCAAACTCACAATTAGTAGAAAAAGAAGCAATTGAAAAACCCAAACCCAAAATTACTATAAGAGAAAAAATAACAAAGATCATAGAAAGATAAATGAAATTGAGTATTAAAAAATATGAAAGATCAGTGAAACATGGTAATAAAGATAAAATTGAAAATATTTATTTAGACTAATAAACAAAAGAAACAAAATCCCAAATAAAACTAGAATTGAAAAAGCAGATATTAGAATGGACATCAGAGAAATACAAAAGGTCAGTAAGGATTACTTTGAAAAACCTATGTTTTAACACACAAAAAATCTAGAATGGACAAATTTCAGGGAACTACTGATAGGATTTTTGGCGCAATTAGAAGAGAGAAAATATAAAGTACAAGTGGCCTTTATTCTAAGAATGCGAAGAGAATCCCACGACCACTGGGTCTGGCTTTCTCTCCCGATGTGTGGTGTGGGGGGCATATATATAGCTTTGGTCTGGGGTGGTACCTAAAGGGGCATCGCTGATGTGCAAGAAGTACATTGGAATTCATTTCATGACACGGGTAAATTGCCTAGGGGCAGGGAAAATGACCTCAAGGTAAACGTCCCTTGGTCCCGTCTCTCACTGCTGTAGCGTTCTATCTAGAGCAAAATCCTTTCAGCCAAGACATGCCGAAATTGAACCACAAGGAAATGAAACACCTGAATAGACCAATAACAAATAACGTTGCTATAGGGAAATGAAACTCCCAACCTACTGTATGTCCGGTACGAGTTCCTGTTTTCTAAAATTGAAGACTGAATTTTAGAAACAATGGAGGAGCAAAATATATTTATTGAGAGAAAGCAAGCTTCTGGCTGACACAGAGAGAGAGACAGAAGTGGTCCCAAGTGGGCTCTAGACTTTGTTGAGCAAAACCACCAGATGGATCCAAGGTGGATCCTTGGATCCGTCGATCCAAGGTGCGGAAAACATGGGAACTCGCAAGGCAGACATAAGGTGGGACAGAACTGTGGCCAATCAGTAAGATTAATTGCTCACATAAAATTGATTAAATCGGGGACAAATGGGGAAGCGAGTCACATAGTAAGCACTCATGCTTAAAGAACAGTGACTCTTGCTGTAGGGAGTTGGGATGGTGACTCCGGGCTTCCTCAGGGTGGTAGACCTATTTAGAATATCACTTCCTGTTGCTTATCTTGGGAAGTATATGAATGCATTTGATTTATCTTTTGTCTTGAGGTCTGGCCCACAGTGGAGGTATCTGTCTCCCCCACAGCTGCAAGGTATCTGGTCTTCTGCACTGGCTCTTTTGAGGGCCCAGCCCTGTCTGACTGCCTATACTATTTCTATCTAACTTAGTTGCCTGTAACAATGTGATTGAATCAGTAGTAAAAATCTCCCAACAAAGAAAAACTCAGGATCAGATGGCTTCTCTGCTGAATTTTGCCAAATTTTAAACAAGAACTTATGACAATTCTTCTCAAACTATTCTAAAGAATTGAGAAAAAACTTTTCCAAACTCAGTGCATGAGGCCAATGTTACCCTGTTACCAAAACCTAACAAAGACACAAAAACAACAAAAATATACACAGTATCCCTGGAAATATGGACACAAAATCCTCAAAAAAGAGCAAATAAAATTGAACATCACATCTGCAAAATAATATGCCACAATCAAGAGATGCAAGAATGGTTCAACATATTCAAGTCAATAAACATAATTAACTACATGAAAAAATCAAGGATAAAAAGTCATGATTATTTCGATAGACACAGAGAAAGCACTGGGTAAAATTTAACATTCCCTTCATGAAAAAAGCACTGAATAAATTAGGTATGAAATGATTACACTGCAACAAAATAAAAGCTATATATTAAGATTCCCACAACCCCTTACATTATGTATACAGAAACTGAAAGCATTTCATCTAAGAACAGGAATAAGATGAGGGTGTCTACTCTCTTATTCATTATTAGTAGAAACTTTAGAGAGAATAATTAGGCAGGAGAAAGAAATAAGGAGCACACAAATAAGAATGGTCTGAAGTCGAATTAACCCTGTTTACAGATGAGAGGTTTCGATGTGGAGAAAAATCCTAAAGACTCCATCAAAAGATTACTAGAACTGATAATGAAAATCAGTAAAGTAGCCAGAGATGAAATCAATGTACAAAAATCAGTAGCTTTTCTATACAACAATAATGATTTGCTGAGAAAGCAATCCTATTCATAATAACTACAAAATAAAGCAAGACCTAGAAATATACTTAAGTGAAAGATCTTTACAATGAATATAGAAAACATTGACGAAGGTTGGGGATATAGCTCAGCAGCAGAGTGCCTGCCTGGCAAGCATGAGGTCCTGAGTTCCATCCCAGTACACAAAAAACAAACAAAAACCACTGATGAAAAAATAAACATACTAAAAACTATAAAAAGCTTCAACAACCATGTGTTTAAAGAATTATTATTGTTATTGTCCACATAACCTAAAGCAACTATGAATTCAATGCAATACTCATTAAAATATCAATGAAACTCTTTATAGAACTAGAAGAAACAAATTCTGAAATTCTTAACAATTAAGAATACCCAAAGCAAAAGGAGTCATGCAAGAACATCACAGTACTTGATTTCAAGGCATACAGCAGGGGCATAGAAACCACAAAACACTGTACTGGCATTAAAAACAAACACAGAGACCAATGGGACACAATGGAGAACCCACATATAAACCGACACATTCTTGTGGGTTTCCTGACAAATGTGCCCGAAACACATACTGCAGAAAGATGCTGGGAAGAGTGAGGACCCACATGTGACACAGATGCATGGCTACACATAAATGTACTAATTAGAGTTAGCAGAGCAGAAGAATGTTCTACTCTGCAGTAGAGTAGAGACAGGGCAGGCTTGTTTCTTACTGCAGGACAGCACGCAGTAAGAAACAAGCACATTAGAAAGTAGAGGGAAGAAAATAACAAGGAAGCAAGAGGAGCACAGATAGAGAGAATCCTCCAAAGCCAAAAGAAGGAGAGACCCTTAAGCAGAATGGAACCATGTAAACTGTCAAATGGAGCAGAGAAATGGAGTAGAATGTTCACTTCAAAGCCTGCATTGGCTTTGATGACATCTGATTTTACATTCTCACTAACAATGGTTTTTATTTAAGTAGCTTTTGTGTAATTTTAGAGCAGTTTCAGTGGAAAATGAGAGCAAAATCTGACTGCAGTGGATTTGCTGACAAAGAAATTACACTTTGCTCTCCAAACCTGAGAGAAAAAAAGATAGAAAGCAGGTCAGTGGGTAGTGACATGAGGAATAGATTAAAGAAATTTTTTGAAGAAGAAATATTAGTAAGTAGCGAGGAAGCAGCGGGGAAGGTAGAAGGATGAAAGATAATAGATCTGAAACACAGAAAGATCTCCAAAGAGACTGACAAGGATAGGAGGAAAGGCCCAGGGGAAAGGAAAGGGTAGATAGATTTCATATATCGGGACATCTCAACCTTTAAGGATGCAGGAAAAGAGATTGGTTAGGTAAGATTGTCACTGTCCAAGGTATTGCACAAGGCCTTGTTAAAGTTTGCCAAGTGATCAAAGATAAAAGCATGCCTGAGAAGATTTCTTCACAGTCTTACACCCAGCCAATTTTGGGACAGAACTGTTATAGTCAATCATGACATTAACTTGACTAGACTAACAAATGCCTGCTGGATTAGTAGAGCACAGTTCTGGATGTATCTGAATGACTGACAGGTAAGCTGAAGATTGAGGAGGGAAGACCCACCCTGGATGTGGGTGCCTCCCACCAATAGACTTGCAGCCTGGATGGAATAAAAAGGGAAAGAAGAAGGAAGCCTTCAGAGGAGCTCCAGTCATTACCATTGCCTTTGGATATTCATCTCCACTTCCTTCAGGCTTCCAGACTCTTTCACTTTCCAACACAGACTCTTCGGCTTTCCAGCAAGGACTGAGGACTCTACAATCAGCTTCCAGCCTTCGAGTTCAACTGGGTCCCCAGATTCCCTAGTGTGCATGTGACCATTTTACATTCTTCTACTCCTGACTCCATAGGTGGCCACTGTAAACCCACTTAGTAAATCCTTTATATAATATATTTTTATATTAAATCCATTCCTCTAATAAAGTCTAAATGATACAGGTATAAAGATTTAGTGACACGTGAATAAAAAATGAAAATTCCAAGTGACTACTTGGGAAGGAAATGGGAAAAGCCAGTGTTAATTTGGTAATACCAAATTAAGGTGACCAAAATTAAGGTGACCAAATTAAGGTCATATTAAGGTGACCAAAGATGGGGAGAGTAATTGTATGGCAAAGGCAAAGGGGGGAAAGTAATCTTTTGAGCCACACAAACTTTGGAGACAGGAATATTTGAAATCTTCATATAATCTTGAACCTCAAGCATGTCATTTAACCTTTTCTGAGCCTGAGTTTCTCTGAAAATAGGGTAAATATTGCTTGTGTCATTGCTTGTGTCGTTTCAGGCTGAAAATGGAGATAACCCATTTTACACAGCCTGAAAGTACTTTTTCTCACTTTACCTTCTCTCACTTTCCAGGAAACATCACCTAGAAGCATTTATTGATTACACTGAAGAGACCGTCACTAAGGCATGGGTCAAGAGGAATTTGTGAAAGAAGTATGCCATATATAGGTCGTGTCCTTTATTAAAAACCAGTAAAAGTTAACAAAATGAGATTTCTTAAAGAGTAAAAAGAACTTGCAGCTTGTGACTATATAAGACAGCATTAGAAACAGAAACATCTTTAAACATCAGTAGAGTTCTTCTAGAGAAAGAAAGGAGTGTTGTTCACAAGAAAAATATTGCAGAGTGAGAAAAGAAAAGGAGGAATCATTTTTCTCATATGAGTCAATGTTGGCTTTTACATTACTTTCTCACAGTAAAGTAAAATGAAAGACGGATTCATGCCAGCATTATCAAAAAAGCATAGATCTGGGACCCAAGCGGTCCTGGATTGGAATACTAACTCTGTCTCAAAATAGTTGGGTGACCCTGCACACGAGACAAATTCTTGAATCTCAGTACATTCATTTCCTACAGTTGACATACGGAGGTATCAAAAACTCAAGTCACTTACACTAAAAGAACTTTATTGTTTTACAATTCTGGAGGCCAGAATCCAAAATCAAGATGATATCAATGGAAAAAAGCTCTTCCGAACATTCTTGAGAGAAACTTTTTCCATGCTTTTTTCCTAATTTCTGGTAGCTCCAGATGATCCTTGGCTTATAGAATATGTCACTTTAATCCTCTATTTTATATGGCATTCTTCCTGTGTCTGTGTCTTCACATGGCCGTTTTGTGATAAAAACACCAGTCGTGCTGAAGTCCATCCTATCCTAGGATTTCATCTCATTCTAATATTTCTGAGATACTGATCGTTATGACTTCAACATACCATTTTTGGAGGGATAGAATTCAACCTGTAACATTCAATATCTTTATCCTTAAGGTGAGAATAAAAGTCACCTTTCTTGCAGGGTTTATGAGAATTCTGTGTGAACATATGAAAAACACTTAGCATAATATCTAGCACAACTAAATGAGGAAAATAAAGAGGAATACAAATCAGTCAAACAAAATGATATTTTGGTCACCACTATTTGATTCTCTGTGAGTTACATCAAGAATTCCTGGTGGAGAGATCTTACAAGGTTCTATTTAATATTGCATTCATGGATAGCTTTGATTCAATATTTGCATAACACCTATAAGATCCTGGTATTACAGAGGTATAGATGGGGAGAGGTGTAGGCCACCTCGTTGATTTCCTGAGGTATTCTATAGTCCAAACTTTCCATCTCCAGTGGCACTCACCTCTAGAAATCATAGAAAAATATGATGCCTGGGCCAACCCTGCGCCATTGTCTGTAAAGTTATGTTTTTTGGAAAGACAATCATGCCTATTTGTTTACATTGTCTCTATAATTAATTTTGCATTATCATGGCAGAATTGAGGAACTATGACAGGGATCATATGGCCCATATGTATGCACTATCTGGTCTATTACAGAAAAAGTTGACTAAATACATTTTCTTTCTGAAGCCCTAGACCACTACCTCAAATATCTATCTCAGCCATTCTTCCAAAAACTGCTTTACTGCTTCAGTTTGGCGCTTGTTAACTCTTCGTATTCATCACCAACCCACATTTCCAAAGTCCCCAAAGCAAGCTACTTTGAGGAAGTGTTAGTGTGAGCAACTTAGCCCAGTGTAACGATTGTCAAAGTACAGATCCTGACTGATGCTCTTCTCAGGCCACAGGCCCACCAGTTCTCAGAATGTGACGTACACTGTACCTACAGATTAGGTGCTCTCTGACAATTTTGAGTTTTGTCTAGTTCTTAGGTTCAAAACCTTGCAGTTACTATACATTTGATCACTCAATAAAAGATCCAATAATCTGTGGTGCAACAAAAGAAAGACAAAACCTGCTAATATTTTTTCCTTGTCTTCAGAGAACCTATAATCCGGAATGGCAAGAAAATTTTTCACATAAGTACAAATCACTAATGGCAGAATGTTTAATTTATAACTCCTGTCTTGACTTCTTCCAAAGCGTTCTCTGAAATGACTTCAGAGTGATCTTTACAGAATATAAGTCTGATTTTGCCACCTTCCCGATTTAAGTGTGCACTTCTTCCTCCCCCACCCCCTTAACCTTCTCCCTATTCCCTGCTCCCCTCCCTCTTCAGCAAGGCTACTTTCTCTTATCGGGACTCTATTTCCTACCCACAACACTCACCCTGCTCAGCTAACTTCCTCATTTTTCTGCTGTCAAGTTCTTCCACGAAACATCTGCAGACCTCCTAATCAAGCCAGATTGCTTGCCACTTACTAGTAGGGCTTCCGGTATGTAACACACCCTCCTTTACTTATCCTCTGCTGCTGGACTGAAGTTGAGAAGCTCAGAGACCAGTTTGTTTTAATGCTTATGCTCAGTTTGATGCTTACTGCCCGACATCAATAGGGGTCCACGTAACCGGGGCGAACAGCTCAGTTGGAGCTCCAGGAGCTCACTTTCCTTGAAGTGGGCTAGAGGCTGCACCTCGTTTGTCACGGGTGAATAACAATACTGGGCGGGGCCAGGGAGCGAGACGTAAGGAAGATTCGAAGCCTGGTTGGCTGGGAGGCTCATCTATCAGGAGTGGGAGGCGGGTCCGGGAGGGTGTGTGTGCCTGCTTTCCCTTGAAGGGTGGGCTGAATCAACCAGTTGCTAGGCAGCGCGGTGCAAGCCTCCGGGCCTGCGCAGTTGGGTGGAAGCTTGGGCGGCGCCTGAAGCACGAGCAGGCAGCGCCCTCTGCTGGTGGTTCGGGCACCGCCCTGGGTCTGGGGCGGCCGCCGGCAGCCGGGGAGAGCCGGACACCGCCCGGAGGAAGGCCGGGGGGGGGGAGGGGGTGTCTCTCCCGCGGACGGAGAGGCGGGCGGGGGGTGGTCCCCACAGACCCTGCTCCTCCCCTCGGGATTTTACGTTCCCTAGCCGGTGCGTTCAGGCGGGTACCGGAGAGGATGCTGCCTGAGTAGCAAATCTGTGGAGTCAGTGCAGGGGTAGGAGGAGGGGTGCAGAAGCGGAGGCCGGGGCGCCATGTTTCACCCCGACTTCCCCGCGCTCGGCCTGCGCTGCGCCCCTCACCCTGCCTCCCGTGACAGCAGCCGCCCAAGCAACTCAGAAGCCTGCCGCCAAACCACAGCTGAGTTTGTAATTTCCTCACGAAGATTTGAACTAGAGACGTTTTCCCCTTCACAGAGGCATGGATACTCTTAGTATTTCGTAGTATTTGAGAGCAAAAGTTGGAGAAGGATTTGGATAGGAACCTGTCAATTTACCCAGTATTTTTTTTTTTTTTCAAGTAATGATCCCTTTTCTTGCTTTGAATATTTTACCTTTGGAAGCTTTTAAAAGTTATTCTAAATTCTCAAAATGAATCTGTGAGGACAGTTCACCCCACCCGCGGTTGAAAGCTGGAGAAAGCAGAAGGAATAGAGTGTACCTCTGAAAAAAGTATGCGTAGCTAAAATAATTAAAAGTATGTAGGTGGATAGAAACTGAGCACCCTCTTCCCAGGAGCTCAAACAAGAATTGCAGGAAGAACCATCTGCCACCTTGTCTTTGTTCACCTTTTTAAAGTTATCTGATTATTCATCCAACCTTCTTTAGTTTCTCCAAACACATCTTGCTTTCTTGTATCTCTTTGTTCTGTGTCTGCTATTTCTTCACCTTCTATTTTTCCTTTAAATTTCAGACAATCTTTCCTCCGAGTATAGGTCTTTGCTCTGTACTTCCAACAGTGATGTTTGACTTTGGTGGCACTTTCAACATTGTAATACAAATTTGTTTACTTGTTTCTTACCAAGTTGTTGGCACGGTATCTTTATCTCAATGCTCGTATTTCTAGCTCAATACCAATGCAAACTCTGTAAATGTTGTCTATGTAGATAGATGACAGATAAACATACATGTGGCTAAGGAGATAATTAGAAAAGAGGGACACGTAGGTCAGAGGCGAGGCTGGGCATATTAATAGATAGGTGTTCGAGGTCAAGTTGAGAAGGTGAGTAAATGGAAATAATGTTTATTTGGCTGGCGACTCTTGATGAGAGCTCTTGGGAAACATAATCTAGATATGAACTCACAGAAGTTGAAGGGAAGACATTGAGAATAGTTGAAAATGGACCAGTAAAACTATTCTTTCTTTTGGAAAATTATGGGCAAAACCTGTATTAAACCTGACATCGTTCATGTTTAATATGCAAAATGCTAACATTTCCCTATTATATTAGTCTCCATTTACTTAATTTCTAGTGCAAATATTATTTTAAAAATTAATGCTTACAGTAAGTGCTACAAAGAACTCGTGATTTTTCTTGAAAGTTGTCTAAAACATATCTTCATTGACTAAACTAATTGACTTTGTGCTTATTCTCAGAAAACAACCACCTTAATAACAATGGATCTTCTGTAAAATAGTAACTTCAGACAAATTAAATTTAGCTGAGTTTATTTGAACAAAGATTTTGAGTGCAATATGGTAGCACTCAAAACCAGAAGAGGTTCAGAGTTCTGTCCAGTCTTGTGACCAGTGAACTTTAAGGTTGAACACGGAAACAGAGTAGAGAATTCACTTAATTTGTTGTTAGGCTTTGTGTCTGGATGCCCTCCCAAAGCCTTATGAAGTTTCAGAAGGGCTTTTGCAGAGGTAGCTGAATCTAGAGTGTGTGATTGATTGATAGGGTAACGATGGCATTAAGGATGTGACTCTACACCTGAACTAGGGTGTGTAGCCTGCACACAATATAAGGGGTGGAAAGAGGCTTGTCCCCTCCTTTCTGTGTTTGTTCTTTTTGCTGATTTCCTCTGCCACAAACTGGTGTCCCTCTCCCATGTGCTACTTTGCCTGCTTTGGAGTCAGCAAATAATGGACTGAAACCTCTACAAACTGTAAGCTAAATAAATCTTTCCTCCCTTAACTTTGTGGATGTTAGATATTTTGTTTCAGCAATGAGGAAAATAACTAAGACATTGGTACAGTGAAGCATTTGCTTTATTTGGGCTTGGTCTATTGAATTCCCTGTCTGGCATTCGCTGAAACTTGGTTTTTTTGTGATTGCTGAAGCCAGATGTTTCTTACAAATATATATCCTAAATTAGGTGTTGGTTTGCTTGTGTACTAAGTTAGATGGCAGTTTGTTACCTGGATAATCTAGGGTACGTAGCCTGCATACAATATTAGAGAGGAAAGAGCCTTGCTTGCTTCTCTCTTTTTGCTCTTATTGCTTTTGATGTTTTTGCCACCATAAACAGTTGCTCCTCTGCCATGTGCCGTCTTGCTTTGGAGCCAGTTGATTAGGGATTGAAACCTCAACAAACTGTGAGCTAAATAAACCTTTCCTCTTTTGACTTTGAGAGTTGAGTATTTTGTCCCAGCAATGAGGGAAAAGTAACTAAGAATTACTGATGTTTTAGTATGATCTCCCTTCTGGGGGATAGAAGAATTAAAAACAATTATAAACAATCTGGAGTGGCTGGGGAGAAACAGAAAGGAAGTGATGCAGCCCAATGTGTGCCAGCGGAGGCTCTGATGGCCAGCGAGAAATAGGTAGGAAGCTATGCAGCCCTCCATGTGCCAGCAGTGGCCTTGCAAGTCAGGAATGAACAGGAAGGAAGATAAAATAGCCCCCTGTGAGCCAGAAGTGAACCTACCACCTGGGGAGAAACAAGAAGGTGGGTACACAGTTTCCCACGTGCCAGTGGTGGCCTTGCTAGCTGGGGAGAAACAGGAAAGATGCCACCTTCTGCCTCCACCCTCTACCATGAAACAGCCAGTGCAAGGGCAGGGAGAGAAAAACCCATCTCCCCTACTCCATAATAAGCAACTGGCTGATTCAGAGGAACACAGGCTGAGATGATAACAGCTGAAGTAAAGAAACAACCTAATGCTTGTATTGTTTGATTGGTAGACTTTGCAAGCCTAAAGTCAGGAGTCTGAGCAACTATTTAGAGAACAACAATATGCAATATAGTAACTACTGTGGGTTTCCTACTGTCTTATCACTGTTTTGTTTTGTTTCATTTTATTGTTCTGTTTTATTCCCTTTAAAATAAAAAATCTGTACAATTATTATCTTTCTATGTTTTCTGAAGTTTCCTGTTTTAGTCAGTTTTGCAACAAATACCTGAAATAAATCAATTTAAAATAAGAGATCTTAAAAAGAGAAAGTGCCGGGGCTGAGGATTTAGCTCAGCAGCATAAGTGCCTGCCTTGCAAGTGTGTGGTCGTGAGTTTGATCCCTGGTACTGATAAAAAAAGAGAAAGACAAAAAAGAGAGAGAGAGACAGAGAGAGAGAGAGAGAGAGAGAGAGAGAGAGAGAGAGAGAGAGAGAAAGAGAGAAAGTGCTTATTTTGGCTAATAATTTCAGAAGCTTCATTCCCTGAACAGTGGACCCCATTGCTACTGGGCCTGCAAAGCAGTGCATTGTGGTGGGAGGGTATCACAGACAAAAGGGTTCACCTTCTGACATCCAAGAACCAAACGAAGAAAGGAGAGACCAGGATTCAAATATTCCCTTCAAAGGCATCCCTGATACTACCAGAAGACTTCTAACTAGGCCCCACCTCTTAAAAGTTTTTGCCACCTCCCAACACATGGGCTGGGAAACAACCCTTTGATACACAGGCCTTTGAGGGATATTCCAGATCTAAACCATAACAGTTCCTTTCACTATAATTGGTTTTCCTCCACTTCTCTAGGGACAGTACTTTCTTGGCTTCCTGTAGTGATATTCCTTAGACTTACTAGCTGCAAAAACTAGTTTAGATACAAGTTAGTATCTAACCTGTCTTGTATTAGATACAAGTTAGTAGACAGTCTGCAGTGAGGGACCAAAAATTCTTTTGTAAAAGTTGCTCTGTAATTAAATTATTGCCCCCAGCCCCAACTTCTCTTCATCTCTTTGATTGTAAATTGATTGTGTCCCTGGCATTTATTGAAGTACAAAAATGTGTTTATTTTGTAGTTAGAAATAGTTTCAGTTGGAAATATGATTTCTCTTTAGATACTATCATTAAGATGGATTTCTTTCTTGTATCTCCTGAAGACAAATTGAGACTTATGAATAGATTTGCCTAACTCTAGGAATTGACACAAATTTTAGGGAAAGCATTGTGAATAACTAGAGCAGGAGGATGGTAGAATGGAATACCTAATGGATACATGAAACTTTTCTCATTCAGATTACTTCAAGTATAAAGGAACAGGTTAGATGACCACCTGAATGAGTTTCCCATGTACAGTTTATGATTAGAGAAAATGATTTCCAAAAGTCTTTTCATCTTAAAGAATCTGTGGCCTAAGAAAGAATTCTGTGACCCTTTATCAAAGTACTGACTTGGATATATTTAAACCTGAGTACTTTAATTCAAACTTTCATTTATCTAGTCAGTTGTGTGTATATGTATATCCATCATTTCAGATTGGGTGTCAGAATCAAGAGTTTGCAATTGATAGGTATGCTTCTAACAGTCAATAAGCTTGCTCTAACTTTATAAAAT